TAATTGGTGACCTAGCTGGCAATCTAACTCCTAACTTCTTATAAGAAAGGAAGTTATTATTAGACCTTTAACTCTTTCCCCCATAAAGATGACATTTCACAGTCTCCCCTGTACTCTTAATGGATACACATCAGTGTATATCAGTAAAGATGTGGTTTGACAACCTTAGAATAGTTTCTGGGGCTTTTTTGTAGTGTAGTTGTGTAGCCAGAGCCCACCCTCACTAACTTCTAATGCACAGGCTTGAAATACAACTTAAATACTACTAGTAGACTTTCAAGGAGTAGAGAGAGTTAAAACTAGCATAACCAGTTCTTTAACTGATCATACTTATCTCCCTAAGGTTGAAGTCATAGCATCAAATACCTTTTTTTTTTTGAGCTGGTCCACTAAGATTTGTAAGCATCTTTCCGGATCTGAATTAAGAGAAAGTTAATGAACAAAACTAATAGTTACTCACACATCCTACGACAAAAGAAATTAGTTGGAGCTGGATCGGGTGACCCTAAAATCCTTTATTAATTACACTGCAGTAGGAGTAATGTTGCCTTTTTTCAATGACTATGTGTTTATACAGCATTATTCCATAATAAAAATTAGCTATAATTGATCTCTGGCTCTCTTCCACAGTGTTTTGTTTGTCCTGTCTTCCTCCCCACACTCCCTGCCCCTCCCCAAGCTTGTTTCTGCCAGAGGTTTCTTCCTCTTAAAAGGGTGTTTTTCCTTCCCACTGTTACCTTACAAAATAAAACACCCAGAGATCACTGTTTTTGTGATTTTGAGCATATATGTAAAAACACCGAGTTGAATTGAATAATAAAATCAAAAGCCACCTAGAGGGCCACTAAATATGAAAAGTGCAACACACATAGCACCGCAACATCTTCAAAAATACTCATGCAAAACACGAGTCCAGTAACACTATGAACCTGTTCCAAGCCCCACTTTAGCTACCTTATAAGCATCCTTCAGTTTTTCACTTGTTTAATGAGCAGGTGGTGTCCTGTTGGGTAGCACTGTTGGAAGTAAAACAGAACAGAAACACATTTAAAGTCTGCAGCGCTGTGCATGTGCCAAAGTAAAATGAGAGAGGGGAGAAACAGATTGCTGAGAGGGAGCCAGTCAGAGGGAGAGCGGGACTAATGAAGGTTACAGAAGAGGAGAAGTATGAAATAGGAAGGAGAAGAAATGAGTCTGGAATGATAAAAGGAGGAGAGACAGTGGGATTGTTGAGGAGTCTCTCTGGATTTGCAGAATCCCCTCAGCCTCAAGTTTTGGTACAAAGTCATACTGACACACTTACTGCCTGGTGAGCCCTCTATCTTTCTCTTCCTCCACTTTCTTTCACACTGGTAATGAGGACTGTAGGTGTCCGCCGACTGTCACATGCACACCACCGAGCGTTTAACAGTAAGGGGGTGGGGGGGGGGGGGGGGGGGGGGGGGGGCTTATATTACTCTTGGACATCTGCCATGGTGCCAGGACCTAGGCAATAGTGTGATGCTGAAATAGGAGGGAAGCATGGGGGTTTCTTTTTGTGTTAGTTCCAGCCAATCCCCATGCAAATTGCGTGATTTATATTACATTTGCTCTAACTTTAAAAAATGCTTTATTTATCTGTTCTGTGGGCTTATTCTCTTTTATTTTACTTTTGGTGCCATTCGAAAGCTAATTCATAGCAATGCCAACCTTTTGAAAAGTGAAAGTGGTGCAGTCCTAGACTGCAAATCGAAAAAAAAAGGGTTGGGAGACATGCATTTTTGTTCTCTTGCTGACATTTGGATGAATGCATCTGTGTCATATAAAACAGTAATAATCAGTGAGTTGCATTTGCTCTTATGCCAAACAGAATGATGTCATGTCTATAATGTAGACGTATAAAGATAGATATAGCTTTTGGGCCTAAAAGTGAAGGAAAGGTGGTCTAAACCAGGCTTGGTTAAATCATCGGCGTATGGTCACCATAGCCCTTCATCATTTATGTTGGTACTTGATGGCACACCAGACTTACTGCAGTCATCTTATGAACAATAGGTGTCGCCACTCAGAAAAAAGCCCTCCATATCAGGATTAATACTGCAGGAGAAGAATTTGAAACAGGAAGAAAAGAAATTGTGGAGTTTTCCTTTTTGAAATTTCTTCTGAAAAGAAATTTAAAGATCGTGAGGTGTACAACAAGCCTACATCGGGCTTTAAACCTGATAGTTTTTTAATGGCCAGACATGGTTACCTTCTGACTGCAAAGAAGAGTAACATTCTGTACCTCATACTAAACTTCAACTTCAGGGCTTTTTGTGGCTTCAAGGATTTTTGGTTTTTAAAACTTCTATATCATCAGTGTGATTTTTTTTCCCCCCTTCAACCCCCAGAAATCTTTTGGCAATTATTTCATCATTCGGGCATTAAAGGGTTAAATGGTTCTCCATAAACCATGATGTCACGATGTTGATGTCCATCTTTTATTGGCAATTTACTGTTCTTACAGGTTTTTAAGACCGCAGCTATTTTGCTAGCAGCAAAGAGCAGTGGAAGCACATGGAAACAAATAATATTGCTCTTATTTGTTGTGTACATGAATTTAGAGTTTTAGAGATGATGGTGTTATCTGTGCATGGAACCAGACTCCAGCTAGATTTTTTATGAAAGCATTATGCTACGTCCACGCTCATCCTGCGTTGCCTTGAAAGGAGTTGCTTGTGGACATTTCAGTATCTGGTTGCCTAAGTATCCATCTATCCTTCCAGGTCTGTCGCAGGGCTAACCTGGGTAACTCTGTAACATATGTACTATCAGGTCACATGTCAATCAGCGGTATCCTGCACTCTCATTGGTAGTTGCTTTAGTCCCACCCATTGCAATTTAATCCCTAGTCACCTGATTTACTTTATATCAGGGGTCCCCAACCTTGCGCCATGGACCGGTTTATGTCCGACAATATTTTCACAGACCAGCCTTTAAGGTGATAAATATAACAAAATAAAACCAGTACCGGTATAAAAAAAAAGAAGATTTATTCATAACACACGGGAAAAGACCCAGGGAAACCAAGTTAACGCTAAAAATTATTTAAAAAAATAATGCTAAAAACCAATAAAAACCCTGAAAACCATGAATTTCACACCTGAGCCTCAACTCTCACGGACCGGTACCAAACAACTCGGGGGTTTGGGACCGCTGCTTTATATGGGCTCCGCTCACCACATTGCTTGGCAACTTTAGAGTGACATCAATCCTCTAATCTAAAAATATAAACACTTTTAAGACAGCAACTGGGTATGATTTAAATGCTTGTATACTCATAATCTTATAATTTTGCTGACTACATCCTGACTGCACTGACTGCATTCAGTGTTCCAACATATCACAGCTACGCCTTTTGTTTTGGCAAGTATGTGCAAGTCCATTAACAGTTTCCTACAAAAGCAGCCGCAACCTCCTAGAGTTTCTCTTAAATTGACGTGACCAATTTTCTTGCACTCCACCCAGGCAGACAACGCAAACATCCACCGCCTCATTAAAAGCATGGGGGCATTTAGTTTGAAAGCATAACGAGCTTGAGATTGCAGCGCTGTGAATAAGGCTCATAAAAGCAGCATCATGCGGTGGTGGAAAGTTACGTTAATGACAGTATATTTGTTCCATTTTAGAGAGGTCATAACAAAGACGCCTACGGCTGCCTTGTCGTCATTAAACATCATTAACATCAACTAAGTGACAACAAGCTGACATTTAAAGTATGAACCCCACATGTACATGTGTGTGTATATATATACATATATATATATATATATATATATATATATATATATATATATATTTATTTTTTTTTATTTTTTATTTTTTTTTTTAATTTATTTATTTATTTATTTTCCAGATTGACACTTTGGATGATAGTATATGATTACAGTATATTTTACATAGCAAAAGGAACTGGCGTGCAACAACACTGCTCAGTCTCATCATGCTGTATCTAGTTTCGCTGCTGTCTGTAACAGTATAAGATACTAAATGATGAATGAATTTTGGCCCGATGTTTGCCAGCACTGTTCCCGACAAAAGAGATGATCCAGAACATGTGTTTCCTCCCAGTGATGTAAAGTGTGCAACTGAAAATTACAAGGTTATCCAACCTTCACTTGCTGTTTAAAGTTGTCTTAAACACCTGAAACCTGCTGAAATGAGTCAAAGAAAATATTTATTTTTGGCTATATGTTTTTCCTCAGCAGATTCACCCCACCAGCCAAGCACTGTACAATATAACAAGTTACTCATTCACCACATTTTACAGTAATGCAGGGTTTCCGTCATCATTAGTATCTAAAATTTCTTAATCATGTGTTTTATTTCTCACTCTATATTTTAGGACTTTCACTTGAGCATTAAATTGGAACAATTCCTTTTTTTTTTAACATGACAGCAGACAGGAAAAAATCCCATCATATGTTAGGTCACAGAAGTCCATTTCTGACAAACAACACAAAGGAAAACAGCAGAACACATTTGCTGGCTGTGCTTTGAACTGTATTGCTTCTAGACAGTCACAGTCAGAGGAGATGTGATGAATTCCCCCGGAGCCAGCTCGGGAAGAAGAGCTGAACTTGTTCTCACATCTCCTGCTACTGAGGAGAAATAACTAGCTTCACTCACTTTGATGGAGTAAAGAAATACACACACAGACACAGACACACACACATATACCCACTGGCTCTTTGCCTGTTTGCTTGAAAGAAACTCATTTTTGTGCATCTCTCTCATGCACCCTGTCTTTTTTTCTTCTCCTCCGGGTTTCCCACTCAACCCGGCTTCTTTCCTATACCCCCCTTCTTAGATTTGCTCTCAATTTTCTGAGTTTATCCTCGTTGTTGAGGTTTTTTTTGTTTCACCCTGACCCCGATCCCTTTAAAACACCGTCATTAACAATGTCACCTTTGCTTGTCATTAACTTTATGGCAATGATTATTCCGCTGCCGCCAGCGCACTCTCCTTCAAGTCTCACTTACCTGTGCGATCTCGTAGAGCAGTTTGTAGTGTTCCTCCCGTTTCTGCAAGGTGCACAAATTGCAGCCCATTCTAGTTGTCAGGGAAACAGTGCCGAGTGCCCGCTGGAGTGTGTGTGCTGTCTGCGGTGTGTATGAACTCCCCCTTGGGCGATACACACTCGGGCTCCTCTTCCTTGGCTCCCCCACACCTCTTTCTCATCCGTGTATCCTCAGAGATCCCCTCTGTCGCTCTGAGCGCACCACACACGTGTTTCAATTCACTGTTTCAACGCAGGCTCTCAAACCTTCAGTTTGTGAAGTGAGTGTGTGTTTGTAAGTGTTTTTGTGTTGTGTGAAGCAGTAATTAGATGAGTGAAACGCACCTGGCTTTCTTCCCCTCTTTGCCTGTCACTCCTTCCCTGGAGTCTCACTTGCATGCCTACATACACTCTCTCCCTCCACTCTCTATACTCCACCACCTCCTCTCTCAGTGTGAGCACACTCTTGTGCATACACACACTTTTGGCTCATGGAGTCACACCTCCTCCTGTGGCAGGCTGCCTACACATGGCTGCTCCTACTCCACCTCATGAATGGCATCCTCATTGGCTGTTTAAGGAGAAGGGGGCTGGGAGAAAAAGAGAGGAGGGGACTGCTCTTATCTTGGGAAGAGTCAGATTCTGAACATCAGTGCTGTTGCGTGTAAGCAAAGGAAAGGACAGGCTGCATGCATGCGTGCGTGTGTGTGTAGTAAAGGTGGGCAGACAGATCCCAATATCCATAGTATTGATACTTGCATGATTGGATCGATTATCTATGCTCTAAGTTAGATATGTAGTCCAGTAAATTGGGTTAAATTACTTTAAATAACAGAAGGTGACCCAAACTGCTTTAGAGACATATACATTTACAACTCCCCCCCCCCTCTTATTTACATGTTAAAAAGTATCAGTATCAGTATTGGTATCAGTAATATTGGCCCTGCATTTATTTGGTATCGGACCAATATCAAAATTTGCAGTATTGCACAGCGCTAGTGTGCAGACTGCACTAGCATCTGTGTTTGTATGCCGTAAAGTACATTTGTTAGTTTTCTGTGTGTACATACTCAACCAAACATTCAATCTATAATTAAAAAAACCCTCAGACATCAGTTAAAATGCCATGAAGGCAGTTAATCAAGTTCCTAAGAGGGCTTTTTGTCAGTCCACACATTTAACAACTGGATTTGGCATTGAAATCAATCTAATTTGGATTCAATCAGATAGTCTTTTGCACTTAGCACAATGGTTGGAGGAGTGGTGTTTAGCGGCTGCCATAGATTTACAGTCAGAGGGCGTTAGTCACAAAACAGATGCTCCCCTCCTCTCTCCCTCTCTCTCTGCCGGCAGTTAGACAAGGGCACTGGACTGGGTTGATACACAGGAAGAAACACAGACTAGTATTGATTGGCTTCAAATTAGCTTCCAGCCCAACTGATCCATCTCTACAGGGGTGAGGAAACAAAAAGGAGAGAGAATGGATGAGAGGAAAGAGGAAGAAAAACGGAGGATGGAAAACTCAGAGATGCTGCTAAGATAAACTGAGAGTCCAGCAATGGCATTACAAGCCTCTACTAGCAATTTTGTTTATACAGTAGCAAGTATGCCCTAAATATCCTTCTAGTAGCATAATGATAAATGGTTATTGCTCAACTCATCCAGCAAATTGTAAACTGTTGATAATGCTCATATCTATATATATCTATATATATCGATATATTTAAATATATATATATATATATATCAGAGCATCTTGCAAATATCAGCCAAATTTCCCCCTCCATGCTACACTTGGCACATTCCCTTGGGACTTTGACCATAAAACAGGTAAAAAGAAAAGGGGGGGCCTGAAATGGTTTGGCAGTTCCTGGGTCCAAACCAGATGGGATGCCAAGTGCAGGTTGGATTGCTATGAGCTATCACACTCACAGTGCCATTACCAACATGCTGGTGTTTAGCAGATAAAATACTCACTGTGGTCACCCTTTTATTTTAGTGTAATTTGATGTGTGATATTTTAAAACGCAGTGAACGCAGAAAAGTATAGTGAACACTGAGTGAACAGCAGGACTTGTCCTCTGAGAACGTTTCATGTCTATATCATATTTAGCAGCTAAGTGACTTAGTTAGTAAGATATTTACAGGACTGTGCAAACGTCTTGAGGTTCTTTATATTTATAAAAGACTGAGTTTAAATAATTCTAACAAGTTTGAAAGTCAGTATTTGGAATGACTACCTTTATTCTGCAAAAGCCTGAATTCTCTTAGTCAAGCTTTCATGTAATTTCTTCAAGTAGTCTTCAGAAATAGTTCTCCAGCCTTCTTGAAAGACAATGAATGTCTTTGGATGTTGGATTCTTTGGATGTTGGCTGCCTTTTGTTCCCTTCTCGGTCAAGATGATCCCACACTGCTTCAGTAATGTTGAGTACCGAGCTCTGGGAAAGCCAATCCATGACTGACTTGTTTTTCTATCGAGGTTTGGTTTTACTGTGTTGGGAGTGTGTGGGGTGATTGTCATGCTGAAAACTGAAGCCATTCCCAATCATGACATTTTCCAGATAGTCCTGCAGATAGAAATCTGGTGGTACTGTTCTATGTTCTTAATCTCAACACCACTGGCTAAAATGCAGCCCACAACCATGACACAGCCTACAGAGTGTTTTGCAGATGGCTATAGGCTCACTGTTGTACCTCTCTCCTGACCTTCTCCAGACATATTACAATATTTGACCAAAAAGTTTCAATCTGGATTCATCACTGTATAAGACTTATTGCCACTGCAATTTTTTCTCCTTGCTTCACTTCCTTAAGGAAGACTACCGCACTTCTTCTGAGACCATATCTGATGAGGCTTCAGTGAAGATGGCTCAAATAGAGGGGCAGATAGATTGCTTGGGTCCTGTGTCAAGTCTTTGCCGGATCTATTCCTATTTCTTAAAGATATGGCTTTAGGTCTGCTGCTTCTTTTGTCCTCCGTTTGCTTAGTTCCTTGAATTCTTAAGAACACAATACATGCCCTGCTCAGTGTTTTGGGCTAAAATCTCTTTGAAAACCACCTTGTTTGTGAAAAAACACCACTTTATGCCTGCCAATCTGTGTTATATTTTAATATAGATTGATCACAACATTTGTTTATCCTTTGCAGAACAACTTTTTTTAAATTTTTGAATGATTCATAGGTCAGAGTTAAGTGGCTTAAAAACTCGTCTGAAAATGATTAAACTCAAGGACTGGACTGCAAATAAGGGAAAAAGAAGCTAATGTTTAAAGAAAAGCATTGAAAGGCATTCAGAAAGCTTCAAACTACTGTTCCAGACCAATTTAAAAAAGACAAGAAAGTCTGGCTTCTTACAAGCTGAATATTTTAGTGACTTCCGTGCAGCACTGTAAGTCAGGACCAAAATATGGACAGAACAGTCAAGAAGAGGATGCTCAGTGTGAGCCTGAGCCACTAGCATAATAAAAAATATGTAATTTCTTTTTGAATGAATACATGTATAGACACATTTCTTTCACGTCAGCTCAACACAAATTAAAAAAAATAACATTTTTTCAAGTAAACTGGAACACTATAACATATTCTTCGTTGATCATTTGTAAGGATTTGCAAGAAAACCCTTTGTCTCTAAGCAAACATGGTATGCAGTTTATTTCCTCTGCAACAGACAGTTTATACTGCCACATAATCTACTGCAGTGGCTGTGTCATGGAAAAACAAGAACTTCTAGTCAAGAAGCAGATATAGCATGCCTGCATGACGAATAGCTGTCACCGCTAAGACTATGAGCAGAGAGCGCAGATGTGTCATAGTCCTTATCACTAGTCATGCAGGTACAGGGACCATACTTGTTCAGTCAAGGGTGTCAGAGCAAATCCAGATACATCCCCCCAGATAACACTTAACTCTTTCCCTCCGACCACTTTTGTCCCATTCTGATGAGGTCATTGTGTTTCCTGTTAATCTCTGAAGGTGACTTTTCAGGATGATATCACCAAATAATGAACTTTCAGATTTTCTTTTAGCTTTTTTACTTTTTTCAAGTGCCTCGAAATCTCTTTTAGTGCTGACGTTTGCAGTCTAACCAAAGGATTACCAATATTACCAGACTCTGGTTAAACTGCCACTGTGGTTCATCCATAATCCGAGATTTGCTGACAAACACATAAATGACTAGGGAGCTAAACGTGCCTCCAGCATTGAAGGCCTCTAATGGCACTCTAAAACGTTTCCCAGAAACTACATCAGTTGTATCTAAAGCGCGATCAGGCAGACCAAAAGTGACCACACCATCAGACGATCAATACATCAGGCTTGGGTCACATGAGAAAAGCTACTTCATTACAGATTTTTCTAAATAAAGACTGTAACACGCCATTACTGTCTTAGGCTGTCTAGTAGTGGTCTCAGGGGACAAGTTGTTGGAGTGGACTGGACATATCAGTATTCTGACTGTATATAAGGAGACGAACGAGCAGATGAGATTGTAATGTATCAAGCCAGCAGTAGAGCAAGTCATTGCCACTATGGAGTTGGACACTCTGGTAAATCAGCATCGGTGTCCAAGGAGAAATACAACTCTACAGAAACATGCTGCCTCGGGTTTGTATCTTTCCAGAGAAGGATTCATACTGCAGCATGATAATACAACTTGAAAAGCTGAAAAACGAGCCAATACAGCAGTGCCAAAAACTTAATTTCCTCAAGTTGGTCTGCAAGCAAGTCAGTCCCAGCAGACTTGTATGTTAAAATGCCCCAAATGAGCTATGATATCAATGTGATCACAGCATGGAAAAGAAAAGAAAAGAAACATTTTAAAAAACAAAAACAAAACAACACCCTTTTGCATTTTGTTATAACATCACTGCCTTGATTTGCACTGTAAACACCACCAGCTGTAGCTAGCCCCTTGCTAGGCCTTGCCTCTGCTACGCTAATTAAAAAAACCAGTAACCTGGACCTTTTGTCCTCCAGTTTTGGTTAGTGAACTTTTAGTGTTTTACCTGTCAGCATTAGTAAGGACAGGCAGCAGCTAATATGTTAATTTTGTGAATAAAAATCCAGAGTGGGCTGCGACATCATGGTTGCTACATCCATCCCATCTGTTATTTACAATCTATAGAGGAAAAAACCCAAACGCGCCCAAAAGCTTTACAAGAATTATTTAACAACCAAAGATCAGGCAGTGCTAACTTTATCTGACTTGGCAGATAGTCGGCTGAACTCGACCACATTGGACAAAGCTCACAAAAAAACTCCTTGGAACAACATGGTTTAGAAGACTGTAGACTCCATGTTATCTCCAGCTCATACTTAAACATTTTAAATGCTACGATATCCTAATCCTCATGTATATTTCTCAGCATTAACATTGTCGGCCCAAACAGTTGAGCTGGCAGTAACAAGAAACTTTGCAA